CCCTGAAACAACCTCTGGGCTGATCTAAGTCAGGGCATGGCTAACTCACAGATTGAACCCTGAAACAACCTCTGGGCTGATCTAAGTCAGGGCATGCCTAGCTTACGCAGATCGAGAGTTTTGACAAACTTCATGATTAATGATTAATGATTTTCTTGGTGATTTAATTTTGGACTAGACCATCTTAAGGATCACAATCAAACATGACGTTTTGGTTTTTGTGGAGAGAGGAAACCTTGAGAGCCCTGTAATAATCATACCGGCCCTCCATCAATATAAAATCATGGAGTACGTTGCATAAACTTAGTAGTTACACATACCAGTGCAATGCACGCCGTCACCTTGATATCCAACTTGGCAAACACATTCGAACGAACCACGTGTATTGTTGCAGACGGCCTTAGAAGAACAGTTATGGAGCGCCTTTGAGCATTCGTCAATATCTACAAAAATATAAAATTCAATAGCTTTTGACTCAATAGTCCCTTTCACAGTTCCCTACACCATCTTGAAAGGTAGCCGTGCCTTTGCATCGAAGCGAGACGAACGGTGAGCTTGTAATGATAGAGACATGTGAATAATTGTCCAAGGCGTTAAAAAAGGTCTCTATCATTGCAAGCTCACCGTTCGTCTCGCTTCAATCATGGCATGGTTGCCTTTCAAGATGGCGCAGGGAACTGTGAAGGGGACTATTGTGTGTTAATCCACTGGCAGTTGAAAGAATGTTTTAATGTAGTTTTCAGCATACAAAAAATGGTGCGACGAAAACCTATTAGCACCTAGTATACAGTCCTTTGACTAAACGTTGTCGTTGATCGGATCGTCCCTTCGCGCCTACACCGAAAAGGATAACGGGTAAATTACCCAGAACTTACGTCATCCAAACTGCTCGCCAGTTTAAGTTTTCGCCGTATACTCGAGGCATGGTTTTAGCAGAATTAAATGGGATCGAAAAAAGCGAGCTCAAGACGTGTTAAATAACATATGCGGCAGCTAGTAACTGTGAATTAATTATCCCCATGATCCTTTTCGGTGTAGGCGCGTAGGGATGAAGCCGGTCAAAGGACTGTATGCGCTCCTTCAATGTGCGCAAACCTAGGACGTAAGTTTTCCATATTCACCTATTTCACATTGATTCCCAGTAAATCCTTTTGGACAAAAACATCTGTATCCTTCAGCGCCAAAACCTGATTGACAGGTTTGGTTGTTACTTGGGCAAGGATTGTCAGCACATTTATTCTGCAAAATAATAATGGTAATCGTAAGTTAAAGATTATCAAGTTACTAACTGAGGCTTGTAATTCTTATAAAAGGTACCTCTGTTCCTCTGTACGAGTACCCTGGTCTTTCCTGGTAATCCTGTGGGTATTGGTAACGATCAGCGTCGTTCAGTTGACAGACCATCATTCCAGGTGTTGGTGAAGGACCAAGGTTGTAAGACACACAGTCATTGTTAAGGTAACATTTGATTCGACACATCTGGTCACTGGATAGTGTTAGTTCTTCAATTACATGGTTCAACAAAGCCTTATTCGTTTGCAGGTTTTCAAAGGATGTTGTTGTTCTACATTCTGAAGCTGCAGAGGCAAATTCAACATCAAAGGCGAACAAACATGTATTTGCATTAAAGTGCGAAAGGAGATATAAGGCCCTATCGAGAATATCTCCTAAGATCGAAGTAGAATTTAGAAGTTGATTTTTGGAAGGAGGAGGGAGGAAAATCGGCGAACCCGGAGAAAAACCCCCTAAGCACAGGAGAGAACCACTGACAAACAGCTTTACTCGCATACGACACCGAGCACGGCGGGATGACTCGAAACCGGGTCGCATTGATGAGAGAGGCGGCGCATTCGTTTCGAATTCCCAGCTGCATTTCACTTTATCCCTATCTCATCAAAGACAAATATTCAATTATTTATCTACTTATTGGACGGATGTATTTGATGGATTGTTTTCACTAATTCTGAAGAGTTTTTATTGTCAAGTGACGTTTCACGTTTGTGAAAGATGCTTTTAAAGAACGAAAACCAAAACGAAAAAGACGGACTACCGGTTACAACAGCTTTCTGAGAGACGGGATTCTATATCCTTTGACAAGATGGGATTCAACTTTACGCAAATGATGGCTCAGACTATTTCTCAATGTTTATAAATATCGAATTAGAGAATTTTGCATCGTTGAAAAATTCTTTAAAGTAATAATAATAATAATCTTTATACTCTGCTCATATATATATATACTTATATATATATATATATTAAATCCCCTGAAGAGTGAAGCAATTCACGAAACAGGCTTGTCGGGAAAAATGTTGTCTTGACTTTTTCTTCTCAAACAAATATTCTGCTCTACTTCTATCGATGTATTGAGCACTATTTTACGGAAAATTGATTCACAGATTTCTTATATAT